GAGCAGCAGGAGGAGGAGGAGGCAAGAATGACCTCGAGTGCGCGGCTTGCCGAGCGATGCGCGCGGTGCGGCAATATGGCGGCCTGCGGGTTTGGGTTTGGACCCCTCCACCGCACCGCATCGCCCATGCATCGGCCATACGGCGCGATACTCTGAACCCATTTTTGAAGGGCCCTGGGACACAGAAATAAGTAGACACAAATCCCACGATTCCCCATGTGTTTCCATATTTTCTGGGTTTTCGCTGCCCCCCCACACTTCCCATGGTTTTCATATATATATATATATATATATATATATATTCCTGGGAATCGACGATTCATTGCGTCTGCATGCTTGTTTCCCTCCTGAATTTTGGAGGCCTGGACCCGCGCCCCCACCCGGAGGCCATTCTGGCCAAGGGCCGCTGCCGTGCACAGCCGCCCTCCTGCCGCCGACCACCAGCTGCCGCCGGCCACGCCCACGCGGCGCGCCACGGCACTGGAGCACCTCTCGGCGTGAAGCAGGCGGGCTCTGAGGAAACGGGCCCTGGACCCCAGGGCCTCCCCCCAGAACCATTTGTTCCACCCCGAGCCCCTCTCTGGCGGGCACCGGGAGCCCGAAAACGGCGGCAAGCGCACAGGACCTGTTTCCCTCTGGACCCGCTTCTAAAGGCCCCGCCCCTGGGGTCGGAGCACGTGTGATCGGAGGATCGCGCCGCATCGCCGATGTATCGCCAATGCGTACCGGCGACGCAGCCACTGCTTCGGCAACGCCGGCGTGGAGAAAACCGGGCTCCACATCAAGCTGCACTGCCGATGCATCGGAGATGCAGCTCGGTGCGGAGCCCGATCTACTCGGACCCCCTCTACGGCAGGTTCGTATCGTGCAAACTTCGGCGCTGGTTTCTGAAACCGGGGGGATCATTCAACCTTCAGCGATCGGCCGTTTCCGAACGCCCAATCGTTCAACACCGACCGATTCTGGGTGGCCGGCGGCGTTCAACGTGGAACGCCAGCGGCGACATCGCCGCCGGCCGACACGACGACTCGAACCTACTGCACCGGGGCCCCAGCTGGGAGGCCCAGACGCTTGCTTCATGGCGGGCCTCCGCCGCATGCGCGCCGCGGCGCCCGAGCCGGCCAGCACGGCGCAGGCCGCCGCCGCCACGAGCGCAGGCGCGGCGGCGCTCACGCCGCTGGCCGCGGCCGCCTGCGACCTCGGAGGGCCGCCGAGGGGGCGGGCGCGGGCGGGGGGCGCGGCGGGCCCAGGCGCGGCAGGCCCAGGCTCGGGGGCTGCCCGGTGGGCCGCCTGGAGGCGCCTGGCCCGCGCGAGGAGGTCCGCTCCTCGCGCGACGCTCCCGGATCGGGGAGGGACGGACGGGAGGAGGAGGAGGAGGAGGAGGAGGAGGAGGAGGAGGAGGAGGAGGAGGAGGAGGAGAAGAAGAAGGAGGGGAATGGGGGGGAGGAGGGGGAGGAGGAGGACGACGACGAGGAGCAGGATAAGGAGGAGGAGGAGGAGGAAGAGGAAAAGGAGGAGGATGAGGAGGAGAAGGAGGAGGAAAAGGAGGAGGAATAATACTTTTACGAAATCATATGAAGCCGCGTATTTGCCTGCCGTTGAGCAGGGCACGCAATTTCCGAACAAAATCATACCTCGGGGAAGTTATTCACCTAGCAGGCTCGTGGGACGAACCAAAGGGCCAGGTGCGTAAGTGGTGGTGGTGAGGATCCTGGCGTCGATGGTGGCGTTGCTGAAGCTGGGGCGTCGAGGAAGGGGGCGCGCCCTTGCCTGCGCACACGGGGACTGTCGCGCACGAGGTAAGCCACACTCGCGGCACTTGGAACGTGTCCCGTCTGGACCCAGTGGGTTGCCTTGTCGGCTGAATCCCAATCCACTGGTCCGATGCCTGCCCTTTCCCTTACCCCTGCCCTTCCCGAAACCAGCGAAGGGTTCGCAGAGGTCGTTGTCGGACAAGTCGATCAGGAAAGCGCGGTAGACTTTTCCGTGGCCTGTGCCCTGTCGTTTGATACCCTACGCACACGGCGCGTGGGCCTGTCGCCACGGAAGCGGCGCCATCGGGACGTGGCGCGCCCGCAGGCCCAAAAGAAATGCGCCCCGCGCGGTTCCATAGGAACTTCGCGCAGTCCGGGGTCGCCAGCAGCGATTTCTTCGCCGAGCGACCGACGGTGTCGGAGTCGGCGCCAATCGAAGCCCGGTGCTGGATATGCCGCCTGGGGGTTTGCCGCGCCTTCGTTGGCCACGGCTGGTGCTGCGGGCGGACTCAGCGCCGCTCCAAGGGCTGAAAGGCCCATACCATCCCAGATCAATCTAGTGGGACGAATGCACGGCCGAGGTCAGATTGCCCGGCGAGCCTTCGATCACATGTGCAAATCTGCGCAACTGGCCCATCATGTGCGCCAGCTGTGGCGCCTCCGTCGGGTAGGCCATGTTGTAGTGCTGCAGGATCATGGCGAGCTGGATGTTCGACACGCCCACCGCGCGCAACAGGAGGTAGCTGAAGCCCTCGTAGCCGATCATGAATTGACCGGACTGCTGCGCCCTGCTGCGGAAGATATCGAACCTGGTGAGAAAGTTGTCGATGCGCTCCTGCGGCAAGCGGCTGACGCCCATCAAGGCACACACCGCCTGCGCGCGCCCCTCCTCTCCAAGCTGGCCCCACCGCTCGGCCAGGCGATAGGCGGCACTGGGTTGCCGTTAGTATGACCACCTTGGATGAAGACAGCCAGCGTCCATTCGCCCACGCACTCGCGAGCCATGCCGGTCAAGCGAGACGAAGCGAAGGCCGCTCGGCGAAACTCGTTGAGGTCTGAGCTCGCCACTGACCAGATTATTCCCTCCCGCACCCAGCGTTAGAAAGGCAAGCGAGCTTGCCGCTCGGCCTCCCAAGTGCGGAGGCGTTGCATGTTGCCGCTGCCGCCACCACCCGTGTCCACACAGGCGACGCAGCTGGTGGCAGCGACCATGCCCACCAAGATGGCCTTCCATCCAGAGTGAAGCTGGAGCCCCCATCCACGCGTCGAGGAGGCGCGACAGTCCTGGCACCCACCATCGGCGGTGTTCTGGCAGTGATCCTCGAAGCCGTCGTGGGTATATGTCCCTGGCGCGTTCCTCCTCATCAGCATATTGGGTCTTCATTTCCGTCGTGCGGTTGGCGCGCGGACTGCATTCGGAGCACCCCCACCATACAGTGGCGGGAGAACTCGTCGTGCGTGGTATTGTCAGTGCACTGCGCACTGCCAAGTGTACGCTTGTCAAGAGGAGTACGCATAAGGATCCAGGCATGCCACGAAACAGAGGACGCGTAGGCAACATTGAGGGCCATGTCCAGGAGAACCGATAACGAGTAACCCCAAGCTTGTGCAACGGCCCCCCAGAAGGATGGCAACGTAGTTGCCCGACCCTCCTCTGCATTCCCGCTCTGCCTGCACGCGCCTCCCCACGCTGCCACAACACAGTTGCAAAGAACTTGGGACGCTTTGCCGACGACGACGATGTGAGCGTCAGATCGAACGACTGCTTGACGTAGTCGGCTACACCCACATGCGGATGCAATGAGGGCGGTGCGTCCTTTGTCTCTTCCTCCCTGGGTTTCCGCAATACAGCTGCGGACAGTTCGGGGCCATGGGCCGACACCGCGAGCGTGGAAGTCGGATCGCTCGACGGTCTGACGCTGACGGCGGCACTCACAGGCGAGTGCTGTGACGAAGAGGGGCCCCCGAGCATCTCGACAGTATTCGAAAGTGCCTAGGGGGAGGGCGGGGCGCGGGGCGCGCCGTCCTGCGAGGAGAGCCTAGCGGGCCATGGCGGCTGTGGATCACGGAGCAACGAGCGTCACTACCAACTAAACATGCAAGGCGGGAGACGAGATATGGAAACTGCAATCGCGACGTGCCTAGCGGTGCGAAACAAATCTTATACCTGGCGCGGGAAGGCACTTTGAGCCAGAATGGCAACAACGGGAAAATCCTTCCCGCACCCACCCTTCCCTGACAACCGACCGTTGGAGTAGGAGGGGGAGCAGGAGGAGGAGGCGGAGGAACAGGAGGAGGAGGAGGAACAGGAGGAGGAGGAGGAGGAGGAGGACGAGGAAGAGGAGAGAGAGAGAGAGAGGGAGAGAGGAAGAGGGAGAGGGAAGGAGAGGGAGAGGCAGAGGGAAACAAAGAGAGCGAGAGAGAGAAGATGAGGAAGAGGAGGAGGAGGAGGAGGAGGAGGAGGAGGAGGAGCGGGGGAGAAGGAGAAGGGAGGAGGAGGAGGAGGAGGAGGAGGGGGAGAAGGAAGAGTAGGGGGAAGAGGAGGAGGAGCAGGAAAAGGAGGAGAGGGATAGGAAGAGATGACGAGGAGGAGGAGGAGGAGGAAGAGGAGAAGAAGAGGGGGGAGTTCTAGAGCTCTGCCCAGGACGAAACCAAGAATCATGTATGTTGCTGGGCAAGTGCGCGTTTGCTGTAAACCTTAAGCCAGAGGTCACGAGAAATCCGATTAGCAGCGATCACCTACAACTTGCATAGGGCACTCTTGGGATAAATGAAACACCTGCTGTGCTGCATGAAACCCGCTGGAACTACAAAGCCAAGACGCGAAATATCAAACAAATGCTTCCGCTTGCGGAACCCCCTGGTATGTGTACCCGCCTCCTAGGGGATGGCTCAAAACAAAAAGCGTAACATTGGCTAAATCGAAGCACGGTGCGCTGAGCCAGGCGGTTCGGTTGGCTTTCGTGGTCCACCGCTTGCACGTACTGTTCCCAGGACGATCCATATCGCTACACTGATGCTGAGACTGGAGCACAACACAGACATAGACCAGCAGGCAGCTGTCTTCTCACGTCTGCGGCCTGGCAGGGCCAACTCCAGGCCCTCCGCACTCAAGGTCTCGATGTGGGTCTGAAGGGTCCTGATTCTGACCAGGAGGGCCATGTGTTCGATCGTGCAGTACCTCGTGCGCGTCGCCTCTGGATGCCGGGGCACCTCCGCGCCGGCAGCCGAGAAGCCGTCCGCCATCGCACTTCCAAGAACAGGCAAGCGATGAGAACGCCCCTGGATCCCCGTCCTCCTCCTCCTCCTCCTCCTCCTCCTCCTCCTCCTCCTCCTCCTCCTCCTCCTTCTCCTCCTCCTCCTCCTCCTCCTCCTCCTCCCCCTCCTCCTCTTCCTCATCATCCTCCCCCAGGGCGTTGAATCTTTTCCTGCTCCGCCGACTGGGGTGACCGACGATACCTTGATCACCAAGTGGTGCTTGCAGGATTGGATTGGACCTGTCGTTTGCGGCGCAATCGGCATGTGGCTCCTGTGCATTGGATGAGGAGAAGGAGGAGGAAGAGGAGGGAGGAGGAGGAGGAGGCCAGCGTACCACGACGACGACGACGACGACGACGACGACGACGACGACGACGACGACGACGACGACGTCCCCTATCATACCTGCCCTGGGCGGCCTGCCTGCACCGTCGGCGCCGTCAGGTGCAGATCCCGGTGCCGCATCCAGATTTATAGTTGGATTCTATGGAGGGAGGAGGATAGAGGAGGAGGAGGAGGAGGAGGAGGAGGAGGAGGAATGAGGAGGAGGGAGGAGGAGGAGGAGGAGGAGGAGGAGGAGGAGGAGGAGGAGGAGGAGGAGGAGGAGGAGGAGGAGGAGGAGGAGGAGGAGGAGGAGGAGGAGGAGGAGGAGGAGGAGGAGGAGAGGAGGGCCCTCTCCCTTCATCGCTGGTTACATTTCAGGACGGAGGAGGGGAGGAGGAGGAGGAGGAGGAGGAGGAGGAGGAGGAGGGGAGGAGGAGGAGGAGGAGGAGGAGGAGGAGAGGAGGGGAGGAGGAGGCGGAGGAGGAGGAGGCGGAGGAGGGGGGGGAGGAGCTGGACGAGGGGGAGGAGGAGGAGGAGGAGGAGGAGGAGGAGGAGGAGGAGGAGGAGGAGGAGGAGGAGCAGAAGCAGGATGCCATGAAGAGCAGGAAGAGCATGAGGAGCAGGGCAGTCGGAGGAACCCGGAACTCGGAACTCGGGTGTCCTGGAAAGACCGTCACCGCGGACGGTACTGCCGGGGGGGTGCAGGACTCGGATAAGCCTGCAGACCAGGGAGTCGGAGGAGGGGGCAGGAGGAGGACGGCAACGACGAGGAAGGAGTTTCGAATCCGGCAGCGTGGCCAGCGCCTGGAGCGAAAGCCCCGTCCTGAAATGTAACCAGCGATGAAGGGAGAGGGGCTCCTCCTCCTCCTCCTCCTCCTCCTCCTCCCCCTCCTCCTCCTCCTCCTCCTCCAACAGTTTGAAGGACCGAAGATGCTCCGACCGAGAGAGCGCATGCAAGTTGTCAGATGTTGAGGCGCTGCGTGTTAGATTACTGAATGCGTGAGGCGTGGTACCCGGTGGGGCCGTGTCGTGGGGAGAAAGGAGCAGTACTCAATATTGAATAGATTCACCCGTAGAGGAGGAGCACAGGGAGCGAAGAGGTCCGCTCCTTGTCGCCAGGGCCGCTTGTCGACAGCCTGGTGGACGCCCAGGGGGTCCTGACGCCGCATCCCAGGGGGGGAGGGAGAGGCAGCAAAGCGAGGGCGAGGTGACGGGGGAGGATGACGTCTGCCACGACCAGGCCGGACGAAAGGGGGGGTCAGCAAAGAGGGCTAGCGCTAGGTCGGGCATGTCCTCCTACAGGCCGATTTGGGGAAAAGAACCAACAGAAAAAATGAGAAAGAGTCAAAAATATTCAAACATAATGGAGAAAGAATTGAAGAATCGCCCCCCTACTATCTTTCGGCTACTACTGAACCTTCCTCCTGTAGAGGGACATGCCCGCCTCAAGGCTAGCGCGGATCAGCTCGCGCCACGGGCTTTCCCGGCGCCTGCGGGCGCTGGAGGCGCCAGGCTGCAGGGCCCAAAACCTGCCCGCTGCAGCGGCTGTCGTGATCCCCCCTTCCCGGGTACACCCCCCCTTTCAAAGGCGCGCCGAGGAGAGGGGCCAGGAAGAGAGGGGCTAGGAGAGGGGCTGGGACAAGCTAGGTGCGCTCGCGTCATATCTGACATCCTACCCCTCCCTCCCATCCCTTACCATGGCGCAGATCCCCTCTCTACTCGCACAGTCGGATGTCGAGCAGGGCAATGATCCCGAAAGGGTACGCGATGCATTGTAGAGCACGGCATGGCATGGCGTAGAAGAGCACCGCAAAGCGTAGTATCAACCTAGCATTGCATTGCATGCCGTGGCATGGCACGGGAAATGACGCCAGCGCTGCAGCGGGAGCACGAGTCGAAACGAGCGGAAGCGCGGAAATGAGGCCAGCGCTGCAGCGGGAGCACGATTCGGAACGAGCGGAAGCACGGAAATGAGGCCAGCGCTGCAGCGGGAGCACGATTCGGAACGAGCGGGGCCCGAAAATGAGGCTGGCGCCTCAGCGAGAGCAGCATTTTAGAAAAAAACACAAGCGAAAACCCAACTCCGGGGAATCCTGTGTGTAAAAAAACAGTACGCGGGGGGGTGCCGAACATCTTCCGGACGCCATCAGGGGAAGTGGGAGAGTAGTATTCATATTGTGTAATTGTAGAGAGGGGCTCGCGCATCATGGCACGAGGCACCCGAGGAGAGGGGCTGGGAAGAGAGGGGCTCGGAAGATGGGCTAGGAAGAAAGGGGCTAGGAAGAGGGGCTAGGAAGAGAGGGGCCAGGAAGAGAGGGGCCCGCGCATCATGGCACGAGGCACCCGCGCGCCCGCGCGGACGAGGGGGGGGGGGCAGGGGGCGCGCTGAAAGAAGAGGGGGGGGCACCGCGAAATCTGGGAGACTTCTCTGGACCGGCCACGATACCCACACACACACACACACACACACCACTCTTCCGCGGCGCGCCTGCGGGGGGAGCGAGCGTGGGCAGGCCTTCTCAGAAGGCGGCGGGGCTGCTCAGAAGCCCTCCGAACCTTCTGGGAAGGCCCGCCCCCTCTGCATTCCCCACTGGCGCTCACCGCCGAACTCTCACTCGCCCCCCTCCTCCCCAGACATCCGGCCGCTCCAATTTGTTCAATGCGTGGGTCCCGGAGGTCCGGACCCCTTCCCCGAGGCCAGCTTTTCGTCCAGAGTCGTTTTTTGACGCTCCCGAGGCCCAGCGATGGCCCCCAGAGGCCGAGAACTGGCAAAAACCCGCTGCTCCAAGGTTTGCTGAAGCGTCTGATCTTTGGGTCGCGGCCCCCGACCCTCCCTCCCTCCCTCCCTCCCCCTCCCTCCCTCCCTCCCTCCCCCCCCCCCTCCCTCCCCTCCAACCCTCCCTCCCCTCCCCCTCCCTCCCCCCCCTCCCCCCCTCCACTCCCTCCCCCCCTGCCGCCCGACGACGACTCCAGGCGCGGGCCCGCGGAACTCCAGACCCTCGCCCCTCGGAGGGACGGGGTGGGGGAGGGCGGGCGCCTGGCCGCGGGCCACCTCTTCCGCGCCGGGTCCCCCCCCCCCCCCAGGGGGGGGGGCACGAGCCCCCAAGACATCTGGCCGCTCCCCAGACATACTCGCGTGGTTTTGTATATAGTATACAGTTTTTTAAACAAAAGTAACAACTATGTTTTATTGTGTATAAAATAAAATATACATATATGATACACATATATATATATATATATAGTAGCTGAATCGGGACAGCCAAAAAACGACTCGGGGCGAAAAAACGGTACCGGGGAAAGGGTCGGGACTTCCAGGGACGCCGTCCTGAAAAAAATCCGGACGTCGCATGTCTGGGTCCGATTCTTGCGAGGCGCGGGCCCCAGAGGTCCAGACCCCTTCCCCCAGGACTGGCTTCTCGTCCCGAGTCGTGCGTCGACGCCCGAGACATCTGGCCGCTGCCACTTCTCTTGCGTGCGCGCCCAAGGAAGTCTGGGCCACCTCTCCCCGGGGCCGGCCCTCCGCCCCGGATCATTTTTGTTGACGCTCCCGAGGCCCGTCGAGGGCCCCCGGAGGAGAATGACCAGCAGGAAGGGGGAAGGGTGGAGGGGGGGAAGGGGGGATGATGATGATGATGATGATGATGATGATGATGATGATGATGATGATGATGAGGAGGAGGAGGAGGAGAGGAGGAGGAGGAGGAGGAGGAGGAGGAGGAGGAGGAGGAGGAGGAGGAGGAGGAGGCTGAAACTATAACGAAACGCCCGCCGCACCGATCTTTCCGGAGCGCCGCGGACCTCTGTGGCCCCCCGGGGCCGGCCCGGCGGCGAGGCCCCGCGCGGCGGCCTTAGTGCCGCCGCCCCAGTGTTGGGGAGCGTCGGCTCCCTGGGCGGGCCGCCTCCTCCCCGCCGGGGCCCCCGGGGGGCCCGAGGGCGCCCCTCTCCCCCCTCACCGGGGGCGCCACGAAGGCGAGGGGCAGAACACCGCGGCCCGAGCTTCGGTCCCCGACCCGAGAGGCTCAGACACTGTTGGGGCGCTTCGGGGCCGTCTTGGAGGCCATCTTGGGCGTCTTGGAGGCCATCTTGGGCGTGTTGGAGGCCTCTTGGGCCGTCATGGGGCCCTCTTGGGGCCGTCTTGGAGGCCGCTTGGGCCGTCATGGGGCCCTTTTGGGGGCCTCTTGGGCGATCTTGGGGGCTCAGACAACGTGCAGGTGCGAAGGTCCAACGGACAGCCTCCCGCTGGAGCCAGGAGGCTAGCCCGCTCTGCGACGCCGAAGATGTGCTTCAGAAGGCCCCAAGCACCTCCGAGAGCACTCCCAAGAGGCCCTGGAGGCTTGTGCAGCAGCATCAGCCTCGCCGTGCGGCGACGTCGGGCGTGGGACGACGGCGGCGGACGGCGACGACGGGCAACGGGCAACGGGCGACGGGCGACGGACGACGACGACGACGACGACGACGACGACGACGACGACGACGACGACGACGACGACGACGACGACGACGACGACGACGGACGACGGACGACGACGACGACGACGACGACGACGACGACGACGACGACGACGACGACGACGACGACGACGACGACGACGACGACGACGACGACGACGACGACGACGACGACGACGACGACGACGGACGACGGACGACAAACGACAAAC